CGCTGTAGTAGCGCGCTCACCATTGACAGGGCCATAGATGGTCATTTGTGTTATGCTGTTGGCTGGGCACATCGCCATGGGACTTGGCAAGGAAAATAAAAAAGTCCCAAGACAAGACACTCTGACTTGCTTTCAGCACATGTTGGGTAAATACAGGCGTGCTGGAGACAGATTTCTTCTATGTTCAGCACATCATTTACGAGACCATATTTCCACCATTTTGTGTTTTAACCTTAGCCTCTCCGTGATAACTAAAAAAAAAAAATTATCCGGAGTGACTATGATGATAAATAAAATACGTATTATTTGTAAATAATTTTGGAGATATTTGACAGTATATCTGCAAACAGTCTGACTAAAGACACAGAATGAACTGAAAATAGTAATCTTTACGAGGCTTTCTCTTTCCCATCAGAGGTGACCTGAAGTATTTCTGTCATCAGCCAAGAGAGACAAATGATGATGGGGAACTAAGGTTTTATTCCTTTAGCCTATTTGGGGAAAGGAGTCTTTCATATAATTTAGCAAAAATTGAAGAATAAGGTTCAGCCAATGGAATAAAAAGTTGGATTGATAGGGATTTAGAGTATCTATTGTCAGCCTTAAAAAAATGAGTTATAAAATTTACAAGTGAACTGCAACATTTTGATGTTCTTGTTGCTGGTTTAATTAAAAAGGAAAATGATATCTCCTTTTAGGTACTGAAACATGTATTGTTTGTAAGGTGGCTGATGTTGCTAGAATTGAGCCATCTTTATGACCAAAAAAAAGCAACTCTTAAATGTCAATAACTGATCTATCAGTTTTCTATGTTAAACAAGCTTGGTCCCTGTTTTCATATCTAAACAGTCTCCTTTGGCCCAAGATCACAAACAGAATTATTGTCAGAAAACATTTTCTGGGAAACATGGATGATTGGAATATCAAAATTAATCTTAGACTGGAAAATCTGATGATATTGCCATTTCTAATCTTGTTGCTACCAACAAAAGCATATTGTGGTGCTGGAATCATACATTCATATGCCATGCATGAACCAGACAGTTTCTAAAATTTCTGCTTAAATGACCTAAATTATATATAAACAATGACACACTTGTATATAATAAAGTATTTATATATTAAATATACAGAAAAGGTATATGTGCATATGCTGAAACTTTGTGAACATCTGGAGTATTGAGATAAAGTTATGATTTCCAGCTGGAACATGACAATTTTTAGGCAAGTCAATCTGATGTTTTTAAGATGATAGACCACACAGTTAATTTTGACGTCAGTGTCATTCAAACAACTATATTGTGGACAAAGAAAACCCAAACAGTGCATGGTCTGGTTTGCTTCACTGCTGAACATTTTACTTTATTATATTTTAAAACTTAATTAATGATTTCGAGTGCTCCTACATATTATTTTTTAGTCTTTTTTGTTCTGCTAGTGAATGTCTGCATTTCTAAAAGATTCTCTTTTCCATTTGAGCTGATTGTACTGCAGTTAACAATTCCTCAGATCTGTATTCAGTTTCTACTACGACACGTCTCAGGACCTACATTTGAGAATAAAGTCTAGAAAATAAAAAAGTGGGTCTAAAGACATGGGGAAGCTCAGTTCACCATTTTCCTAGGTTAAAAATGTCTCTTGGAAGTCTTCCTTGCTCATCTACAGATACGTGGGTGGTTTTAGCACAGAAGTTGGTCCCTTGTCTCCAAGTACCTCATGAAAATATGGCAGTAATTAGATCTGTCTGATGTCTGACAGGCCCACAGAGGCTACAGCAGAAATCAAGGCTGAAGCTGTTGCTGGGTAAATACCTGGGGTTTTTTGCTGAAATATGACCATTGAATGAAATAGACAAGAAATTAAAAGAAACCTTGTTAAGAACTTCTGCATTTATATCGACTGGATTGCTCCTGTAAAATATCCTAAGTATCTTCAAATTGTTTTAAAATTTGCCTTTTTTTAAGAATAGAAAGTTCTGTTAACTTATATTACGCACATATTTTTTCCCCCTTCCCAAGCTCAAAACCCAGACTTCTGTAGCCGTGTTTTATCCCTGAAGAACTGGGGCTATTCAAGATATGCAAACGCTTTGAACTATCCCTGCCTTCTGATTTTCCTCCACCGCAGATCAGTCGAACTTTTACCTCCTCCCCAACCAGCACTGCATGTCTGATCATCTTTTTGTTTGTTTTTCCTTCCTACAGGGACCCTATAAAAATACAGCAGCTGCAGAACCAAATTCGTCTGGAGCAAGAAAGTGGCCAGTGGTATCGTCACCAACAGCAACCTGATCGTCACCAGCACGCTCCCTCCTCTCCTTCCTTTCCTCCTCCTCCCTCCTTCCAGGAGCTTGAGTCCAGCCAGTCTGTCATCTCTCCTGTGCCAATGAGTATTCTTAACTCTCATACTTCCCCAACCATGCAGTCTTCCAGCTCCTTCAACTATGCTCGGCCTAAACAGTTCATTGCTGCTCAGAACATCAGCCCTGCTTCAGGTTATGTGACTCCATCTTCAGGATCGTCTACGTCCAGCCTTCCTTCTCCTATGTCTCCAACTGCTTCTCAGAAACAGTTTGGGAGAGTGCCTGTTCCCCCCTTCTCTCAGCAGTTTGCTCCAGAAGGGGAGTACGCCTGGTCTCCTTCTTCTCCATCCCCTCCGCCCCCGCCTCCACCTATCTTTAGTCCAACCACGACATATCCAGTGTGTGATTCCTTTCCACTTCCGCCTCCTCCACCCCCTCCTCTTCCTTCACTTTCTTCACCTTCCCACAGCCTGTCTCCAACGCCCAGATTTCCTAATTCCGGCCAGTCTCCAGCAGCTTTTCTCAGCTCCATGCTGCCGTCCCAGCCACTGCCCGTTTCTGTCAACGCTTTGGGCCTCCCAAAAGGAGTAACGCCTCCGTAAGTATCAGCTAATGAGCTCCTTGAGTTTGACTCTTCTGAAGATTGTGCCGAAGATTATTGCATTTGCTTCGTACAGTACTTTTCCAGGGTCCTTTGCTGTTACCTGCTATCTGAGGGAAAATGCATGGATTATTTGCAAGTGCCTGTGCACTACAGGTGGGATGTGGTTTTCTAACCCTTGCGGAAGTGAGGTTCCTTAAGAGTCTTAGAGTAGGAACACAAAAGCAGAGAAGCTATAGCTTTAAATCAGAGTTGATGAAAATACGAAAGCAGCAACAAAAGGCCTTGCGTGCCCAGGGCAGTGGAGGGAGATCCAGGAAAACTCTTCTCATGACCCAGTTCTTCTGAAGTCATGTATTCAGTGATATTTGCAGTCTGTGTTCCTATTATATCTGCAGGTAGAGAAATATCAAATAAAGAGAGCATTGTTGTGAAGTCTCTATAGCTTTGTGATACTTAAAGTATAAGGTATTTAAGTATACATCTGACAATGAAGTGGTCGCAACGATTTATTGGCTTTTGGCTAGAGGTTTTGTTCTGAGAAAGTTTGGAAAAGGGTTTAGGAGGGGATTTAGAAAAGCAGCGCATAAAAACAAACAGAATCCCTCCCCCTAACAGCTCCACATACTTGTTTTCCCCTTTTGTCTTCTCCAAAGGCCAAAATAGTATTTTGGAGCATGTCGGCTCCCATCATAGATCAGTTTGTCTTTCCACTGGCACTAGACTTTCATTCCATCCTTAGAGAACAAAGAGACATGCTGAAGGAACAAAAATGAGAATAGCTGTACCCAAGGATTATTTATAACTTTGTCTAGAAGTTTGTCTAAACATATCTACGGTATCTAGGTGACTTGCTCAGCTACATACTGTTGCGGTGGGAACTTCTCTTATTTCAGTCCAAGATATGAAAAGGAAGAGAAGGAAGAAAGTGGACAGATATCAAAGTAATAAATCAAGTATATGCTTTAAAAAGCATTTCTTTATCTTGATTTCTGACATATGGCTTGTTATGGAGTCTGGGCATAAAACAGATTTAGGAGAAAAATGAATAAATAGTCCAGTTTGCCTTTGCACTCCTGATAGTTGTGGTTTTCTGTCTTCCTGTGTCCTTTGCTCTGGCCGGGCTTCTCTACTGATACTGACTGCTCAAAGTTGCAGGATTAGTTTACTGACAGCTTGACAGGTAAGCACTGGCCCTTAAAAGCTGCCATTATCCCTGGTTTTCCAGGAAAGGCTTCGATACAGCTCTGCAGATCTGGATGGGAACTGGCTTCTCTTTCAAGATCCCTTCTGTGTGCTGTGAGGGCAAGGTGACAGCAGCAGCTTGAGCCGCTGCCGTGGCCCTCTTCCCCCATTATGCTGTGTTCATGCATGCGTGTTCTCACTCGAGGCCTTAGCTCTGCTCTTCCTCCTTCCCTTCCACCTTTGGACAGAGAGACCACTGTGCAAGGATGCCTCCCCCTTCCCCATGCCCCCACAGCCCGGCAGCCAGACAGGGCGTGCACGCGATGGTGTGTCCGGCCCCGCCGGGGCAAGGCAGCAGCCTCGGGCTGTGAGCTGAGGATGAGGTGGTTGGCTGCTTGGCCTGCATTCCCTCAGGAAATGTAGTCCAGATGAGAGCTGGATCATGTTAACTGCACTGAATGTTCATGTGTATAATTTATATATACGTGTGTGTGTGTATATACACACAACGAGCATTTGTCATCTGAACCATAACATTAAAGATGTACTGTGTGATGCAAAAAACACACGTACCTATTGTTATCTGTCTTTGATGCCAGTATTTCCCTGGCCTCTCCTCTTTCACTTTATTGTGTAGGTTACTAGTGTCTGGTGTGTCTAGCTGGGTAAATCATTCTATTTTCCATCATTCTTGTACCACTCCTGAGCAGTTTTTCTCCTCCCTTCCCTTGCCCCCACCGCTTTTGGTCTCTTCTGCTTTGTGCTGTGATCGCAGTTCTTTTTTTCCTTTTTGCTTCTGTTCCCTTGTGCTTTGTTCCATCCTCACAAATCCTGCTTTCTTGAACAGATTCGTCTTTCTGAGATGTTGTAGGTTTTGAGCCACTTACGGTTTTCCATAACCTCAGCCTAGAGTCTCACCATGTGCCACATGATCTCCAAGATCCATCAACTGAAAAGGATGACACTGTTTCCCAACAGTGTGCTGTATAGACTGGGTGTAAGTAATGAATTGGGAGATGTAAGTTTGGCTTCAGGTCAGCATCTAAAATGCTGGTTGGGCCGTGTAGCTTTGTCTCTACTTCATCAGTCATATAGGCGTGGTATTGAGAACGGAACGGTGGGTTGCTAAAAGTACAACCAGGGACGCCATGCCTGTCCATACCTCTTATGGAAAGGAGGTACAGTTTTTACTGGAGACTCCAGATACAGTGTTTGAAGTGATAGGATTTACTCTTTGGACAATAACTTTATGATTTTTTATTAGTATATTTTAATTTTGGTGTGAGCAGACTTGGACCTGCCATTGCATTTAGATACTTCAGTACTTTCATATGAAGTGTATCTAGAAGGTAAAATCCCCTGAAAACAGTTTTCCTGTTTGCTTTCAATGTTCTCGTGGCTTCATCCTCTGGGTGTCTTTTATGTATATATTTTGGGGTTAATAATTCGCTGTTCAGATTTTGATTATATGCTCTTTTTACCATGCTTGTTTACTCTTCTCTCCCAGGCATGGGCACTGTAAGACTGATGGCCAAATGTCTGAAGGAAAACAATAAATATTTGGCCTTGTCAGAGTCTCTTGTAATTACCAAAACCAATGTTTGGCAGAGTAAGAAATTCTGCAGATGGTTTTCCTAAGTTATGCATCTTAAAAGACTGTGGAAATTATGGAGTAATTTTTTTTTCATACATTTCAAGGATTTTTTTTCATTACTAAATCTTAGCACAATTACAGATCTGCTTCTCAAAAGCAGTACTTCGTAGACATCATTATTTTCTTCAGATTGCCTTTGTGATAGGAGCAGAATAAAGGTAACGTAATAAGCATTGCAGGTGGAGGTAATTATTTTTTGAGACAGTCAGTGGAATTTTCTGCAAAATGGTAGACACAGTGTTTGTCTACAAACCCACAGAGTCTTCATTTCTCCTCATGGAGTTAGATCTTCCCTCTGTCAGCTTTCTTCAGGCATTTCCTTGCCAGTGTATGTATCATCTTTGTTCTACTTTAAAGATAAATTAATCCAAGGAGGTTTTGTGCCTTTTCTTCTATTAGAGGTCAGACAAAACATTTCTAACCTCACTTCCATCCCTATATTCTGTCTGTGAGCCCGTGAGCAGTAAAGACTATGCTGATGTTTCAGCTGAGACTTGATGTTTTTCTTGGTTTGGGACCCTCAGATTCTATGGAAATGACAGCACTGCCTAAAACAGCTTGATCAAATGAATATTCTTTCCAACTGATAGATTTGGAAACATTGCACTGTTTGGATTTTTTTTGTTTGTTTCGAGTGTGGGGGTTTTTTTAATTTATTCTGGACATCTGAAATATGGAAACAGCTTTATATCATTAGAACCTGATAATTCACCTTTACGTATTTTAAGCATGCATTTGTAACAATTGCATGGTAACTGTCTCAGTTGAATAAAATATATCTCATCCTTTCAGTAAGCCCCAAACACTTCGTAGTGACCAGCATTTTCAAGCTGTGACTGCGGTGGCTTTAGCTTAATGAGCTTTGTAAATAACCTTTTTTTTTAATTAATGGGACATATTTGATAAATTCATGTCTTACCAGAGCAGAGTGATATTAAACAAAAGAGAAGTGCTGGTGGAATTTCATAGCTAATTAAGTATTTCAGGGTGTTACGAACACTCGTCAGTTCTTTCTGAGCTAAACACTCATTGGAGTAAGATTGTTGAATGCTGTTCTTAAACATCTCAGTTCTTTCCTTCTTTACCCAAAGAAAACTCTAGGGTGGTGGGTGTGTTGGACTCAGGTTATCTTTTGGTTAAAAAACAACTTCCAGAGAGCAGAGTTAATGTAACAGAAACCTAGAACTGGGACTGTTTCGTCCACAGTTAAATGTGTAGAAGCTAGAGTCTAGTCTTCACTGTTCATAGAACATGGGTGGTTGGACTAGATGATCTTTTGAGGTCCCTTCCAACCCCTGACATTCTGTGACTCTGTGATGGAAAAAACAAATTATATCTGTACAAAAAGAAATAACAAATACAAACTCTAAGTGAACACATACATTAGTAAGTTTATATTAGCATTTGTGAAAGCAAAAATAATCTTATGAGAAGGATTTTGTCACTTTTTAGTGAATGTTTAAATAACAAGTATATAAATCCTGCTACAAAAAAGGTCTAGAGTGATCCAACCTGCAGAAATGGACTCTCCTTCTTAGTATAAGAAATGTGTATTGTCAGCTATACACATATTCTTTTGAAAGCATCTTCAAAAATTACAGGATTTTCTTAAAGCAGACACTTTTTCTTAAAGTAGATATCTTCAGCACTATTACCTGAATCACAGACAGAAAAAAATCTGACTGTACAGGGTTGGTGAAAGAACATGATTCTAGATTTACTACTTTCTGAAAAAGAATAGTGAATGGAAGAGAAGACATTGTTTGGAATACAAAGTTGTCTAAAGTTTCTTGTAAAATGTAATTAAATAAGCAGCTTTTATCACTCTACATAATAAATTTAACTGTTTAAATTGTTTCAGCAACCTCTAGAACTTTAAATCCAAATCTTAAAGGGAATTCTGTGGGAATCATGAGAACAGCAACATGAGAGAGAGATCTGCACTTTTTTCCACTTTGATTCAGAGCTGCTAGTCTGTTCTCGCAGCTGTGTACTGTCACTTGTCCATTGAATCCTGTCTCAAGTAGCACTGAAGCAAAAGTTTTAATAACCTTTCTGTTCCTTGAGTCAGTTAGTGATGATGGTGACCACACTGAGGAAAAGCCGTGCTTCTCCAGCCTTTTATCTTTCAGCTTTCAACAATCTCCCAGTACAGCCT